AATATGGCAAGTTTGCCCCGAGCTGGGAAGAGAGAGAGAGAGAGAGACACGTCCTGCATTCCTGCTTCCCTTCTGCAAGACATGGGCAGCCTTAAAACCAAGATAGGGTCCTTCTGCTAGTCTAGACCCCAGGCCCAATAACGGAGAGGGTTGTAGCCTGAAAGAGACACCAGCTAATTTCTCCACTTTATATGAGCGATTATTTTTTCCAAGTGAATTCCCACCTCTCCTCTCCTCTCCCCTCCCCTCTTCCCCTCCTCTCTTCCCTTCTTTCCCTCCCCTTCCCTCCTCTCTTTCCTTGTCTGCTCTCTTCCCTTCCTTTCCCCTTCCTTTCCCCTTCCTTCCCCTCCTCTCTTCTCTCCCCTCCTCTGTTCCCTCCTCTCTTCTCCTCCCTTCTCTTCCCTTCCCTCCTTCCTTTCCTTCCATGCTGGCTGGGGAATTCTGGGAGTTGAAGTCCACAAGTCTTAAAGTGGCCAAGTTTGGGGACCCCTAGCCCTGTACCATTTGAGACAAAGGGTTGTCCAAAAAAACTTCCAGGGTTGGAGAATTCGCAACCTCTGGAGGCAAAGCTGTTCCACGGATCGAATTGTTGTCAGTGTCAGGAAAACTCTGCAGCTTTCTTGACTTAGTTGCCATGGTTTTCCCCTCCCTTCCTCAGGTGGGTTGCAACAAGGTCTACACCAGCACTTCCGACGTAATGACCCACGAAAACTTCCACAAGAAGAACACGCAGCTGATCAACGACGGCTTCCAGCGGTTCCGGGCCACGGAAGACTGCGGCACGGTGGACTGCCAGTTCTACGGGCAGAAGACCACCCACTTCCACTGCAGGTGGGCACGGGGGCGAGAGGAAAAAAAGGTTCTCGCTGGGTAGGTGGGCATCCCTTAACCTTCCGTACGGTTGTTTTTTTCTCCCACTCCGCGCGAGAGCTCTGCCCAGCATCGGTTAGGACTGAGGCGGGAAAACATTTGATGGGCTGTGGACAAGGCCTTGCCTTCCCTTGGCTGTATCGGGGAAAGGACAGCTCATGGTCTAGGTCAGGTGTCGGCAACCGGCGGCTCTGGAGCCGCATGCGGCTCTTTGGGCCCTCTGCTGTGACTCCCTATTGGGTGATCCCAGCACTGGCTGGCCCCGCCCTCCCTCACCTCCCAGTCACTCCTCGCCTGGCCTGAGAAAGTAAAACACAAAAAACAGAAATGAGAGGGAGGGAGAGAGAGAGAGAGAGAGAGAGAGAGAGAGAGCCATTTCCCACAAAAAAGAAAACACCGGGAGCCACAAAACTTGGGTAGGCGTGGCAGAGGGGGGTCATGTAACTGGGTAGGAATGACAAGTTGGCCATGCCCACCCAGGTTTTGTGGCTCCCAATGTTTTCTGATGGCTCTAGGAGTGTTGAAGGTTGCAAACCCCTGATCTAGGTGATCCGTGGCTCCCAACCTTTGGGGCACCAGGGACCAGTTCCGTGGAGGGAGATTTTTCCATGGACCAGAGGGGGGGAGCGTGGTTTCACGTGCTGCCAACCTCCCACGGATGGGGCTTTGCTTGTTTGCGCAGAGCGGTTTCAGGCATGTTGTGGCCCGTTGCTGGTCCATAGACCGGGGGTTGTTCTAGGCCCAAGATCTGAGGAAGATTAGTGGTCAGATTTGCGTTGTCCTCGGACGACAGTTGGGGCCTTTCAGTATCCTTGGCTCTGATGCGTCTTGCTTGCTCGAAGATGCACCTCTCGGAGGCCCAGAAATGTGTCCGTGCGTTAATGCTGGAGGTTGGAGCCCACAGGTTTTAGAAGTGGGGCCAAAGAAGGAAAGTCCAGATAATTTCAGGAAATAGATGGGTGAATTGCCCCTTGTCTCCGAAGAGGCTCGTGTCCTGACTTCCTGCTTGGCTGGCAGGCCTCAGTTCAACCTCTAGCGGAGAGTTCTCCAAACTTTCTGACTTTGCGGGCCAGTGGGGGGGAGGAGGGGAGAGGGAATGGTTCCAGGCGAGAGGCAGGCAAGCATGCACACGCACAGCTCCATTTGCACGAAGGGCAAGCGTGCTCACCGCTCACACAAATGGACCATGCATGCACATGCTCCCCTGCTGCTTGGGCAAAGGAGATGGGTACACGGGCGTGTCCTTGATGCATCGGGCGGCCCAGTTCTGAACAGCTCGAAGCCCAGTCGTGGACCGCAGCCCAGGGGGTTGGGGACCCCAGTTCTAGTGAATTTCTGCCTGAAATGCTGCAGAGCCGAGATCCCAAATCAGAACACACTCAGCTGCCCGGCCTCTAGCTCTGAGGGATCGACCACTTCGGGGGGCAGTTTCACCGTCCCGCGGGGCCAGGCAAGTGAAAGGGCTCTTCCCGGGCCTGACCCCTCCTTTCCTCTCTCGCAGGCGGCCCGGTTGCACCTTCACCTTCAAGAACAAGTGCGACATCGAGAAGCACAAGAGCTACCACATCAAGGACGACGCCTACGCCAAGGACGGCTTCAAGAAGTTCTACAAGTACGAGGAGTGCAAGTACGAGGGCTGCGTTTACAGCAAGGCCACCAACCACTTCCACTGCATCCGGCCCGGCTGCGGCTTCACCTTCACCTCCACCAGCCAGATGACCTCGCACAAGCGCAAACATGAGCGCCGGCACATCCGCAGCTCGGGCATGCTGGGCTTGCCCGCCTCGCTGCTGGGCGCCAAGGAGAACGAGCAGGAGGAGTCCAGCAATGACGACCTGATCGACTTCTCTGCCATGAGCTCCAAGAACTCCAGCCTGAGTGCCTCCCCCACCAGTCAGCAGTCTTCCGTCTCCCTGATCATGCCGGGCACCCCCTGCACCTCAGCCACAGAGCTGGCCGCCTCACAAGCCACCAGCAAACCCGCCGGCAACATACCCTCGGCTTCCAAGATGCCCGTCCTGCTGTCTCAAGCTCTCCCAAGCAATATCCCTTTGGCCCTGGCGCTGCCCAACGCGGCTGTTCCGGGAACGGCCAGCTCTTACTTCCCCATGCTCCCCGGCCGGGTCTCGGCCCAACTGCCCACCAGTTCCAGCAGTTTGCTAGCCGCTGGCACGCCGAGTACCAATCCGGCGTCTTCCACCGGTTCCCCTTCCCCGGCCCTCTCGGGTTCCGGCGAGGGGGCGGCCACCTCTTCACCGACTCCAGCGGCCTCCATCATGGAGAAGATCTCGGCCAGCAAAGGGTTGATTTCGCCCATGATGGCTCGGTTAGCGGCGGCGGCTCTGAAGTCCTCCATGACAGAAGCAGGTGAGTCACTCTCTTCCTTGGACTAGTTCACGGGAGAAATTCCAAAGGGGAAGTGGTCCAGCAGGTCCTCTCCCTTGGAGAAGAAGGAGGGATCCCCTGCCATTAAGCCAAGATCTGAAGATCCACATTTTGGGCAGCTTACAAGTAGCCCTTCTGCCGGACTGAAATCGGGGAATTTTTTTCCCCAACCTTTCAAGTCCAGCTCGGCACAGGAGGAAAAATAGCTAATTTCCCAGGAAGCCTTTTATTCTTCACGTTATTTTTTTTAAAAAAACAGGGGGATCGGGAGGGGAAATCTTCCTTAACAAGGAGAGTAGCCATTGATGGATCTATTTCGACCCCCCTTTATTTATTTATTTATTTATTTATTTATTTAATAAAAAGCCACTTGCTGTCGGCGTAGCAGTTCCCCATCAGCCGAAGTGCCTCTGGGCAAATTAATATTTTAGCGTAGTTGCGAGAAGCTCAGCGGACACATTGCCGTCAGCAACTTTCCCCCTCTCGTGGTTTAAGCCTTCCCCGCGTGCAGGGAGGGTCCTTCTCCTTGCCTTCGCTCGGGGGTATGGGTGTGGGGGGTCTCAGCCTCCTTTTGGGGACCCCCCCCCTCTTTGCCAAACGAGAGTCGGCGGTTTGGGAAGAGGGAGGAAGGCCATGGCTGATGCCGAGGAGGAGCTGGGGGTAGGCGGCCGCTCGGTCGAGACCCCACGTTTGGGGCCGAGGGGTGGGGGGGAGCCAGGCGGGTTTGGAACCAATGGGATTGGGTGTCATTTTCGATCGAGCTGACATGGCAGACATGTTCCTTCTGGGCATGCTCGGTGGAGAGGCCGGTGCCAGTCACCAAGGCAACATGGAGGCTGGGGACTGGGAAGGGGCTCGACTCGCGGTCCAGAGCTGCCACATTCCCTCAACGTTTAACGGCATCTTTAATAAACGTTTAAGAGGCAGCCCCACAAATGAGTTATGACAGCTGGCGCAGAGCATCCGATCTCCCCCCTCGCTCTCCTTCCGTCCTTCTCCTTTAAAAGAGCCCACAGCTTGGACAACTTTGACATAATTTTTGCAATAATTATCACTTGAAGAATTTCCACACCAGGGATGGACGTCAAACCCCATCACGTCAGCCCGGCAATAAATGCTGACCAGCCAACCCGGCCTCCCTCTCTTCCTCACACGGCCTGGGTGGGGGGCGGAGGGTTGTTTTCTGTGTGTGTGTGTGTGTGTGTGTGTGTGTGTATGTGTGATTTTAAACCAATGCATTATTTCTTAACGGCTGAGCTTTATTGTGGGTTGATTTCCTATTATTATTACTTTTATTGTCAGAGTACAACATGTGTACAATGAGATTGGCTGAGCCTCCCTTCGTGCACACACACACCCCAACACAACTCACAGTGAGACTTTTCTATTACTTTATTTAGTGACACATTTTGGGTCTCTCTCTCTCTCCTTTCCCTCCCCTCCCCACTTTTCCTCTTTCACGCATGCAGGAAACGGGCAGCCCATAACACCTGGACGGTTCAACCCAACGCAGGTGAAGTCCGAGGTGGCTGAGAATCCTGGCTCGGGACCCACCGCAGCCCAGGACTCCTTGCAGGAGCACAGCTTGGACCTTAGAATGAAAGATCATGGGTAAGAAAGGGTGGGCCCCTCCCGAGCAGAGGAGAACCAAACAAACCAATTTGGGGACACCTGCCCCCCCCAAAAAACCCTTGCTGTTGGACCAAGACACCTGGAGGACACCGTTGCCTCTGCTTTGAGCTGCAGAAGGAAGAGGTGTTTGGAAGTCTGTGGGAGTGGAGATACCTCCCACTCCAAGGAAGCTAAGCTTTTGGGTGGGCCCATCGTGTCTTGGGCATTCCTGCCCATTTGACCTAGCCAGAGTTGACCATCGTAGCCTGTGGTGGGTTTCCAAATGTTTTCCCAACCGGTTCTATGAGAGAGCGTTTTGTCCACGCGCACAAGGCTCAAAGACCGCCCTCTGTTTCAACGCTGGTGAGGTGAGGTGGTTTTTTTTTACCTCAGCTGAGGTGCGGCAATCTGCAAATCAGCTAAGCTAAAAAAAAACAAGGGAACATAGGAGAGGTAATGGCAGGGGTGGGTGGGTGGGGCCAGCCAGAGGTGCATTTGCCGGTTCTCCGAATGACTCCAAATTTCTGCAACCGGTTCTCTTGAACCGGTGTGAACCGGCTGAATACCACCTATAAGGCAGCCTTCCCAGCCAGCCTCCATTAGCCTCCTAACACAGTGGAGAGGAGAAGGCGTCCGTCTGGGATCAGGTTTAGAAGGGGGGGCTGGGCTGCTTCCGGTGGGCTATCCAGTCGGTCTCCCTCATTCCCTGGGGTCCTCGGGAGGGGGGGGGGAGAAGAAAACCTCCGGGGAGCCCCTGGCCAAGAGGCGGACTGGGCCTAGTTGAGGCCTTTCCCTGCCTGCGAGGGTGACCTGGCCGGGAGAAAGGCGGGCTTGCTCACCTCCTCGTCCTTCGTACGCATCAGGTGGAAGGCGGGGAAAGGGTGGCCAATTTGAAAGGAGAATTAATTGCCGCTCCCCTATGCACATCTTAACTAAACCCTGTTGGTTTGTGTGTTCCAGCAATGAATCAAATGGCCACACAGTCTCGGCAAATTCATCTCTTTTATCCTCGCTTATGAATAAGGTAAGAGCCATCCATCAAGAGCCTTTCATTGCCCCCACCAAGAGAAATTAAAGCCGCGGTGGCAAGAGAGGGGGAGAAGCGTTTGTTTTTTAATGTTTTGCCTCTAATAAGATGAGTTTGTACCATTTAAATTTTGAGACCATTTTTCATCGGGTATAATTTCAGAGCCACTGCTTACGAATTAATTTAATGAACTGGCTGAAGAAATATATCGCAGCCCCTGACACCCACCCACCCTCTCTCTCTCTCTCTCTCTTCCTCCCTCCCCCTCTCTGTCTCTTTCTCTCTCCCTCCCTCCCTTCCTCCCTCTCTCTCTATGTCTCTCTTTCTCACTCTCTGTCTCTCTCTCTCTCCTTCCCTCTCTGTCTCTCTTTCTCTGTCTCTCTTTCTCCCTCCCTCTCTTTTTGTTTCTCTCCCTCTCTCTGTCTCTCTTTCTCTTTCCCTCCCTCCCTCTCTCTCTTTCTCTCTGTTTCTCTTTCTCTCTCTCTCCCCCCACCCAATAGAAGGAGGAGGACTCTGAATGGGCTTGGTTTTTTTTTTAATTTCAGAGCCAGCCACTTCTTGTTTTGCTCTATTATTGCCATGTATTTACCTTAAAAGTTTCGAAGGGGGTGGAGGAATCTGCTTTTCCCTTTGTTTATTTTTCCGAGAATGGAAAAGAAGGAGAAAAAGGCCACTAAAATTTGGAGCTGGCAGACTCCTCTTGGAAGTATTTCGCTTAAAAAAAAAAAAAAAAGCACACGGCCCTTTTACGAAGACCATTGTTTAAATTATGAATCCCTCTGTGATGGTTTTTTCGTCTTCTTCTTCTTCTTTCCTCCCTCCTCCTGTAAATGTTAAATACAATTTTGGCGAGAGTGTTTGTCTTGCCTTACATAGCCAGGGCTGCCTGGAGAACTGCTTTTCCTCAACGCCAAAGTTGGGGTTTTTCTTCTCTGCCTCTGAAGCTGCCATCCAGGCCGGGCTGAGAAACTTCCCAGAATGACTCTGTGACTTTGCTTGGAGCTGCATCCGTTCTCCCCAGGCTTT